CCCCCTCCTCCCCCCGTTACTTATGGCAGCCAAAAGATGCAAAGCAGCAGTAGAAGATCTTGAAGGCTGACACAGCCCTTTTCCGGTCACCTCATGGAAGCTTGGGCCCCTAATCATGGCCCATGGATCAACTGAGCCAACAAGGGGCAGGAGCTGCCTCTCATTCTGTCTCTCTGTGGAGTGCAATGCTCTGCTACAGCTTTGGAGTAAACTTCCGCCTTCCCTGTGCAGGATTGCAAGGCTGAAGGCTTTGGAGGGAGCATTTTTGGGATGTGCGTCTGTGCAGAGCTCCCCAAGGATAGAATGATTGGCAGGGAAATGGGAGGGGGGGATTTTCCTACTGATCGGAGCAAAGTTAAGCCTCCAGCCTTGCAATCCTGTGCAGGGAAGTATGCTCTAAAGCTGTAGCAGAGAGTTGCACAAGGAGACCTCCACAGGTACCAGTAGCATTTCTGAAATGTTAACTTTTAACACAATGCTCACAGGAAAATCCCCGCCCATCTGTGTTTTCTCGTTCCCTTCTTCCCCTCCCTCCTCTGGCTGTCCATCTCAGCTTTCACAGACAACTGTCTGCCAGGGTGGAGGCTCCCTCGTGGGGTGTGATCGAACTTCCAACCTAGATAATCCCAGATCGAAAACCTCCGAAAACCTTCTAAAGCCGCCAGCCTGCCAGAACCTCTTCGCAAGCAGCTGCTGAGTGCAAGCCTGCACACCTATTCGGTGCTGCAGGCGCCGGGCTTACCGTACATCTATGCTGAGCCTGACACTCTTTGGACCCTGGTGTGGGCACTACAACTCTCTTAACGGCTGTGTGAGGCAGGGGTGGGGCTGCCCCTGGTTGCCTTTGGTGCCTGCCTCATCTGTGGTGGCTCTGCAGCCACCTCACCTTCCACCCAGCCAACCCCACTACCAAGGCCTTATCGAAAACCTCTGAAAAACTGAGCGCTGCCAGCCTGCCAGGGCCTCTTTGCGAGCAGCCACTGGTGGAGTCTTGCCACCTTGTCCGCTGCTATCCAACTCCCATGAGAGTTGCAGCGCCCACCAAGGCCCAAAGGTTTTCGGAAGTTTTTGATCTGGAATAATTCAACCTGGCTAGGCAGGAGCAGTCCCGCAGTGCTGCCGAGAGCTGTGCTGCCAGGAGGGCAAAGAGGCCAGCAGCAGCTTGGGCAGCTGCTTGGATATTTAAAGACTTGTGGATTTCAACTCCCAGAACTCCCCACAGCCCCCCATCAGAGCCTTCCCCTTTCTGGGTTGGGGTAACTCATGCCCACCGGGTCCATGAGGGAGCTTCCACCCTGGCAGACAGTTGTCTGAGAAAGCTGAGATGGATAGCCGGGGGGGTGGGGGGAGAAGGGAATGAGAAATTACAGATCTTTCTCAGCATAAAGCTTCACAGAAAGCAAATCAGAGGGATTGGGGGGGGGGGGGAGATTTTCCTGTGAGTACTGTGTGAAAAGTTAACATTCCAGAGATGTTACCTGCAGAGATCTGCTGGTACAATGCTCTGCTGCAGCTTTAGAGTATACCACTGCCTGCCCTGCACAGGATTGCAAGGCTGGAGGCCTCACCTTGCTCTGATCAGTAGGAAAATCACCACCACCATTTCCCTGCCAATTGTTATATCCTTGGGGAGCTCTGCATAGATGCACATCCCAAAAATGCTCCCTCCGAAGCCTTCAGCCTTGCAATCCTGCACAGGGAAGGCTGAGGTTCGCTGCAAAGTTGTAGCAGAGCCTTGCACTGGGAGGCCTCCGCAGAGATAGAATGAGAGGCAGCTCTATGTCCTTGCTGGTTCAGCTGATCCACAAGCCGTGATTAAAGGCCCTGGCAGGCTAACGGTGCTCAGGAAGTTTTCAGAGGTTTTTGATTGGGGCTTGGTGATGGACTGAGCCAGGCATAAGCCGAGGTGCCGCTCTCAATCATGCCTCTGTAAAAGGTGGCCAGGACAGAAAGAGAAAGACCTATCTGGAAAATAAACCCTAGCTTGATTTTTACACACAATATAAGCCCTATCCCCCCAAAATAAGCCCTAGTAATGCCCCCTCCCCACATCTGGCTGTATGAGGTGGAGTGAGGCACAGGTATAAAAATCAAGCTTGAGTGGGGGGTGTGAGGTACCCTATGTACCTGCTTACCTCGTTGTGCTGGTGGAGCTGGTCATGGCATAATGCTCATTGCAGCAGTGGAGCTGCTCCTTGCAGAATGTCTCGAAGCTTGTTGGGGAGGTGGAGCCACTCATGGCAGAATGCCATGAAGCTTGTTGCGCCAGGGAGCCGCTCACGGCTGGATGTTGCATGTACGTTGTGCTATCGTGCACGTTCATAGCACCAGTGAGAAGAGTCATATGGTGCTGTCCCACAAGCGGTTCCACCATGTATCTCTTCTTCTTCCTGGACGAAGAAATGATGAAGACTCAAAGCTTTGTCTGCATGCAAAGGGGATGGTTTGAAACAGAGCAATTAGCTCCATTTCAGACCATTCCCTTTGCAAGCACACAAATCTTCACCTCCCTCTTGGCAAAAAGTGTTTGGGCATCTACCATTGGCCCTGCCCTTTCCATCCCACTGTCTGTTTGCCTGTGGCCTCAATTGGGGCCAAGTTCTTAGCAAGCCCCAGCCTCCACCTGCCCTGCCAGGAGGGCGAAGAGCTCCTGCGAGGTGCTGTGGCCAAGTTGTCAATTTAGCCATCTCTGCTAACTCCCATCAACTTTTGCTGCCATTTGTTCATTGTGGGGATCGAAGTGTCCTTCCATTTTTGTACATAAAGTTATCTTGCTGCCATCAACATATATAACATCAAAGTTCTAATTTCCCCTCCAAATCTTTTTCCATTAAACCCAAAAGAGAAGTTTCTGGTTTTATCTTTGTATTTATTTTAAGAATCTTCTGCATTAGAATATGAATGCTACGCTAATGTTTCTTTGCTTTATCACATGTCCACCACAAATGATAGAAAAGTCCCTTCTTTGCACTTGCATTTCCAACATTGATTTGAAGTCCCTGTCAGGGTTCCAACTGATGCCCTAATTAAATCATGAGCCTCAAGCCAAGCTTCAAAAGAAATCCAGTTATTTATTAGGAGCTTCATGTCAACATGGACCAGGTGGAGCCAACTCTGAGCTCATTCATTGCCTCTGATCCTGTTTCCCCCTTCCCCCAAGATGTGTCATCAGTCACATTCCCCAATGAAGCAATTTCATGGGTTGTAGAAGTCACTCCCTCCGCCACAGTGGGTTTCTATAGAGATGACTCTGATGTCTTGGCTGGAAGATGTTTTGATGTTTTGACTGAGATGCAAGCTCCTTGATGCAGTTGTGAAGTTCGATTCCCCATCCCACTTGCCTATGGCAACTCTAGAGCAGGTCAGGGATGCTTCATGAGTTGACAGTACCTTTATACATTCTTGATAATTTATCTGGTGTTAAATACCAATGATACATTAGCTTATAAAAATTTCTTTTAATTGTAATTTAGTGTAAATTTTAAACCTTTTATCCACATATTCTTCCATTGTTCAAGCTTTACATTTTATAGACCTTAGCAATAACATATTCATCACTACCACACAGTAGACTTTCCAAGTCAAATCCATAACTCTTCTTGTCTAGTTTAAATCTTTCTTTCAATTTTAAATATAAATAATGGCAGATCTGTTTTGATTCTAGCTCTTCCTTAGGCTTGAGGATAGGATCACCAAAATTAAAAGGTATTATTTTACCATAGGTCTACCAGTCAGACTTCACCACCATTTCTTTTCTGAAAAAAAGTTTCTTGAGGGGACACCCAAAGAGGCATCCTTGTTTTATACTTATTCCCAACTCTTAGAATGGCACATCTAGCAAAGTGGTTGTTAAAATCAACATTTACTTTAATCTTAATGCATTAACAAGAGTTGGAAGGGACCTTGTAGGTCATCTAGTCTAACTCCCTGCCCAAGCAGGAGACCCCACACCATTTCTGACAAATGGCAGTCCAGTCTCTTACTGAAAGTTTCCAGTGATGAAGCTCCCACAGTTTCTGAAGGCAATTGATTGTTTTCACTGTCAGAAAACTTATCCTCATTTCTAGATTGAATCTCTTCTTGATCAGTTTCCATTCATTATTCTTTGTCTGGCCTTCAAGTGCTTTGGAAAATAGCTTGACCCCTTCTTCTCTGTGGCAGCCCCTCAAATATTGGAATGTCTTCCCTGGTCCTTCTCTTCACTAGACTAGCCATGCCAAGTACCTGCAACCATTCATGGTATGTTTTAGCCTCCGGTCCCCTCATCATTGTGGTTGCTCTTCTCTGCACTTTTTCTAGAGTGTCAGCATCTTTTTTTATAATGTGGTGACCAAAACTGTATGCAGTATTCTATGTATGGTCTTACTAAGGCTTTATAGAGTGATATTAGTACCTCATCTGATCTTGATTGTATTCCTCTGTTAATTCATTTTAGGATTGCATTGGCTTTTTTGGCTGCTACCACACACTGTTGGTTCATATTTCATTGGTTGTCCA